TTTGGGGTGACAGGTAAAGCCCCTTTTATATAAGCTTTTCCCTGTGGTTACAACAGTATAAGAAGTCTTTGTTTCACTCCAAATAACTGAATTTTCTTATTAAAATGTCTATTATTATCCTCCCTCCAAAAAGGCAGGATGTCTCAATGGTGTTGAAATGTCTAATGTAGCTCACAGCTACACGCAGAGCTTCTGTGTAGCTCACAGCTCATGGACGTTTAAAGCACACCGTTCTCCTGTAGATACCCCTTATATGTATACTTAATTTATAAAATATTAATATTTTCCAGCAGAATGTAAAGTTTGGAAGGATTTGAGATCATTTTGTAACAGAAAGTGGGGATGATCTCAGGAGACAAGAGGAAGCACTTCAGACTAGATAACAGTCAGATGAGCAACAGCTGAGTCTGCAGAAGGAATAGTGATGGGGAGAGGGTTGATGGCAAACATATAAAAAGGTATCCTCCCTAATTTTTTGGACTATAAAGATGGGGGGGAGGGAGTTGGATTTCCAGACTTGCAAGAATCTGTTAATGCAACTTTACAATAAAGTTAGAGCTAGTACTTCTGAGTTGCTTCTTGTATGGACTACCTTGCAAGGCTGACAAATTCATTACTTGCTTTCTTTGCAATAGGAAAACATTTAACAAAAATCCGTATAAACGGGAGAACAGGTCAATAATAATGACCCTACACCACAACGCTGATTTAGATGCTGATTTTTTGGAGAGGTACAGAATACTTAGAAATTCCAAGTTGTTGTTTTTCAACTGAGGCCCACATTTTACTGCTTATGATTTGGCAAGGGGTGCTAAGAAAAGATATCACATGGTTTCCAATAAAGGAGGATATTTGTAGATCAAGTATGAAATGAGAGGTCTAGCATTGATAATGTTCCTTAGTTTGGGTAATGAAACGTCTGCAAGAAAACAACCAAGCTCAGAAAGCATAAAGGATCCCTCAGGGTTTCCAATAACAGATTCATTCCTTTGGATGGTTGCTTGAGAACAAAGTTGGAGCCTATAATTCAATAAAATATAAGCATACATCCTAACAAAATTGAGAGGTAAGATGTTCACAAGCTTAATTTTCAGCATAGTCTTCCCCAACTTCATATCCTCCACTTCTATTAGAAAAGCAATGTGCAGAACTCTCTTTTTTGATATGGTTATCAAATACCAATATGTAAATGTCTGAAATTAGAGATGCCTGGTACATTTTCCAACAGATTTATTTCACATTCGTTTGATAAATAATTATCGTATTAGATTCAACATCATCACATCAGTGCAACAAACTTGAATTTGCTGCACAGCATTAAACTGCACTGACTATACAATGCTTTTGAATATCTGGCCATTATAGGTGGCCCTTGAGTTATGACCACAATTGTGCCCAGAATTTATGTTGCTAAGTGAGAAATGTGTTAAGTGAGTTTTGGCCCATTTTACAACTTTTTCTGCCACCTTTGTTAAGTGAATCATTGCAGTTGTTAAATTAGTAACCTGGTTGTTAAGTGAATCTGGTTTCCCCATTGAGTTTGCTGTGCAGAAGGTCGCAAAAGGAGATCACATGACCCCCAAGACATTGCAACCGTCATAAATACGAACCAGTTATTAAGTATCTGAATGGAGATCACATGACCACGGGATGCTGCAGTGGTCATAAGTGTGAAAAATGGTCATCAGTCACATTTTTCAGTGCCATTGTAACTTTGAATGGTGACTAAATGAACAATTGTAAGCCAAGGACTATCTGTATTCTAAAATGTTGACTAGATTTTTAAGACCGAGACTAATGATAAATGTTTTTCTATAGGATGATTATTTATTGCCATATAGCAGTAATGGCTAACCTTTTTGTTATCGCGTGCTGTACCCATAATGCAATGTGCATGCGCCCCCATGCACCCTCCCCCACATGCACAGATTCCCCTCATGTGCACTCCCTGCACATGTGTCCTGCATGTGTCCTGCCCCCAGGCATGCGCGACAGAGACCCATAAACCACCTGGCCAGTAGGAGGTGTGTGCATGCATCTTGGAGCTGAACTGGAATGAGGACTTTGCATGCCACCTGTGGCAAGTGTGCCATAGGTTCGCTATCACGGCCGCATAGTAATCCGGGAACCGGGAGGCCCTCACAACAGTCACTCGTGCCCTTGTGACCTCTAGGCTGGAATACTGCAATGTGCTCTACATGGGG